AACATTGAGCGATTTTTTTTATTATCAATAATCTAACTCGGGAACTCTCACGGTTAACGTTATACATTTTCCCAATGAGGCAAGGAGACTGTCTAAGTTAGTAATTTCGTTATACTAGCATCTAGCTGTGTCTAAAATTTATGTTTAAAATAGGGGTTATAACATCTTATCTCTATCTATAATATTTAAGGTTAACGAAAATTTGGATTTGGAAATTAAAAAAAAAAACACTTTTAACGGTTAATACGCGAAATATATTAGTTCTTATATTTTTAATTTACTTTAACTACGGCGAGACGTTTTCGATGCTGTGTAGCAGCCGTGGTCATGGTGACTAAGTAAGATATATATTTCGCGTTTATACCCTTAAAAGTGTTTTATTTAAATATGTACTGCTTGCGTGAACAACAGATATAACTTATCATTTGAAAAAGTACTTCTAAATATAGAAATATTTTTGTGGCCGTATCTAATACTCTGACAGTCGCATGATCCCAGCAGACACGTCATCAATCAAAACATTGCGTCGTCATGTTAGATTTCGTTACGTCACGGCTATTATTCGCTTGATGAGCTGCTTTGACTAATACCCTTGTATTCGTAATATTGCGTTGGTGTAATCTTAATTACAGACGGTACAAAAATCCATTTTTCCCCTATAGGAAAAGAGGCAGACTCATTTATATGCTTCAGCGATCTGTATTTCTAGGTAAGTTTTTGATTACCATTACATTCTAAAACAATTTTAAAATTCGAACCCAGACCTCTCGGGTATTCTTGAATTTTCTCGACGATTCTCTATCACGAAAGGATGACGTCATGCCAATAACAAATTCTTAAATACGACAACCAGCTCGAAAACCAATGTTCATTTGCAAGATAACCAAAAGCTTAAAGCAATTTATAATATGGTTTAGTTTAGCATTATAGAGAAATTTATAAACTTTAATTCATATTTTGAAATAAAACACTTTAACGGTTTAAAACGCGATATATATTAGTTACACTTATATGAAAGGGAAATACTGCCCGACGTTTCGACGACGTTTAAAACCGTTAAAATGTTTTATTTAAATGTGTACTACTCGCGTAAACTACAGACAGTATTCAATACATCTGATTTTAGAAAAGAACATATAAGGTTTATAAGGAAAAAAAAAATACTTTCTGAAAATAACTAGACACCACAAACAATTTTCGTATATACGTTTCTCATAAGTGTACTCTAAATTCCAGATGAAAAATCGTAACAGGCCGTTTCAATAGGGTGTGAGACATATCGTATGAATTACATATGAGAAGGGGTAGTAACAGGATATAGGAACTAGAAGCGCTCGGATTCACAAGTTGTGGTAAATAATTTATGCCCTTATTTGAAGCGTGTGTTTACTATAAAGCGTAGTAACTAGAAACGATCATAACATTAATAATAATTATTATTATTGTTTACTTAAAGTACTTAAGTACGTAGTCTGTAGTTTACGCGAGTTTATAAGTAAAACAATTTTAACGGTTTTAAACATGAAATTTATTTTAACTACGGCCCGACGTTGCGGTTGCTTAGCAGGATCCGTGGTTTCAGGAGACTAAAGATGGAAGGTGTCTCTAATGCCATCGTTAGATTATCTTTGTCAAAAAGTTTAACTAATACATTTCTGTTTTAAATTATTTGGTATTTTATTTAAATGTGTAGTGACCATGCCTGCTGCAGTATCAATAATGTGGTAGTTAAAAGTGTTTTATTGAATTTAATATACCCATAAGAAAGTTTTGTACAGTAAATTTTTTATTTATATAAAATTTAAAATGTTATTTAGTTTATTACATTGCAGGAAAGCACATAAGTATAAATAGATAATTATTTTCTATAACGAAATTAAACACGTAATTATAACCAATAAGGGTTTTGATTGATAACTTTGTGTGGGTAGAACGAACAATACGCTAACGGCTAAGGCATTCTCGTACCTTGTACGTGTCAGATGAATGCCCGGATAATTGTTTTGTTTTTATGAACAATTCAATCAATATCAATAGACCATTCTCTGTGAACGAACAATAATATTTAATGAGATTCATTCCGCTAATACGCCTTATACAATAGTACAAATGTAATTTTTATCCGTAATTAAATACGCTCTGTGCATTAAACTCTATTCCAAATACAAATTTTCTAATTAGTTTATAGTTAGAATATCTACTGGAATTCCTTATATGGTATAAAATCAGTTTGATGGGTGGTAGGAATATTGAAATTTCGTCGGGTCACGAATTACCGTCTAGAGATGAAAAGGCTGTGACGTTTAGTCGCGTGTCGCTTTCAGAGTTCTGAATATTTAAGCTAAGGTTATATGGCTGGGGTATATCAGCTACCATCAACCTTATACTTCTAATGTCAATTGCTAAATGATAATACCATATGTATCAAAATAGATAAATTATAATACCATATGTATCAAAGTCCATACGGAGATAAGGATTATCAAACATTCATATTAAATACTGTCTGTATTTTACGCGAGTAGTACAGATTTAAATAAAGCACTGTAACGGTTTAAAACGCGATATATATTCGTTAAACTTTTTTTAACAATATTTTAACTACAGCCTGACGTTTCGGATGCCCTGGTCATGGGGAGACGGCTCGTTCAAATAAGATTAATTTATATATTATATCACGTTTTAAACTGTTAAAGTGTTTTATTTTAAACATTTATACTTATTTTTCTCTTAGGAGGCTTAGATAAGAGAAGAGATACGCAATTAAAAATCGTGATCAACATCTAAAACGACGTAAGTTTTTTAATCAAATATTATAAACTCTCCTTCCCCTGGTTCATTAGCATGACAATCGTCGCGAGATGACGCGTGTCACTCGCACCTGTTTCTTAGTCCAGGGAGTACAAGAAATATCAGTGCAAAAATAACCCTTAAAAATGTACAAATACGAGCTATAATGGAATGAAGATTAACAATAAGAACAGCGTCTGGAATGCAACGAACGAGATGCATTAGTCAAGGCTACGAACGAAAAAAACCACGTTCGGGGTCTAATTAAAACTTAAATTCCGAACGCAAAAAGAAATCATCTAATGTAAACCTACAAAAAACCGTTTATTTTTCATTTTTTACCACTCTCCAGGTGCATAAATAATAAAAAGGTATTTGCAATTGAAGAGTGAAAAATACGAGCTTGAATTGAGTAAATACATAAGTTAACTGTTAACTTATTGTTTTCATGAACAACGAATTTGAAACCTGCTCGTGTGTCATATTTTTTATGATAGAGAAGGACAGAGAAGTTCCTTGATGGAGGGTGAGATACCCCGGCCGCATAACATCGCAACAAGATGCGCTATTCATCTATTTCAGCTTTAGATATACGAAAATCCACAGACCTAAAACCGATAGGTGATTAAATCTACGACATTTTCATCTGTAGACAGGAATTTGTGACGCCGACGGAATTTCGATTCTTCTACCATCCATTTAATATCCAGCTTTCTATACGGAGACCAAGATGTTTCGGAAAAATTATAAATTGATTAGAGAAAATATGTTGGACCTGGTGACTATCGAAATCGGACCCGTTAACTATTAGACAAACACATCGCTACGATTAGACCAACGAACTCGTCAAATTTCTATTCTCTGTCTCACTGCAGGCACATTAAGATTAGAAAGAACTGTTTTTCATTATGTATTTGTCTTAAACATACAGGAGGAGGAGACAGTCACCCCGTGACCATGGCTGCTGCAAAGCATCTGAAACGTCGGGCCGAAGTTACAAAATCATTTCCAAATAAGTTTAACTAATATATCGCGTTTTAAACCGTTAAAGTGTTTTATTTAAATGTGTACTACTCGCGTAAACTATAGACAGTATTTAATATCTCGTAATATAATACCAATATTTACCAATGAAAGTACCGGAACTCCGCAGACCATCAATAGTTTTATTGTCATGGTAATGTTAGGAGTATGTGACAGCGTCAGATGCATTGTCATTTGGATATATATGCTAATGGAGTACTGTGGTAATGTAAGGGGCGGATACAGAACATCGATATTCGATGTTAGCTAGAACGTTTTAAATATGAAAGTTTGGGAAAGTCCAAAATGTTTCTACAATTATAATAATAGGTTTACAGGGCATCTTGTTTAAATGTTATGTGGGTGGGACTATGTTACATCCCATCAAGTGAACATGACGCTTGTCTGTCGTTTGTCAGAAAATTTTCTAGCAAACTAAGTATGGTAGGATCGTGTTTATTATTTAAATAATTATGTTTTACCACTATGTATCTTGTACAAAATCATTGAAAGCGATAAAAGGTGAATATTAAGCCGTTTTTCCAACTCATATGCAAACACAAATCCGTGTCTCTTTTGCTGATGATTAGAATTATGTCAGGTGGTTCTCTGTTCTTAATCTGCATATTATCTACATAGAGTCAAACACAAGAATGACGCGGTAACTCAGTTGGTTAGAGCAGGGATCGCTGTGAATGCTCGTCCAAGTCCCGCCTCAGTCCTCAACTTTGGTTTAATTTAAACAAATTTTTAGTTTATAAAAAATAATGCTATTAGAACTATACCTTCTTTTAGTTGTTATATTTATAATTTGTATTTATCCGAAGCTGAACATATACCACCTAAGTTATCCATACTAATATTATAAAGCAGAAAACTTGTTTGTTTGAACACGCTAATCTCAGCAACTACTTGTTCGAATTGAAAAACTCGCTTTGTTTTTGATCATGTATCGAGGAAGGCTATGAAAACATTACGCTGCAACAAATAGCAGCATTGGAAAATGTGGGAAATGATCTACAGTACTTTCCCGAATTTGCAAGAACGACAGGACGCGACTGACGTGGTTTGTAACATTTTTGATAGATAACTGAGTGCTTTGGGATAAAGGTGAGGAAAAATTTTGATGCCCAAAATCGAAAGCGGACGAAGTAGCTGATACAGTAGTAAATAAAAATACTCATGACAGTTCATTTTTTGAGTGCCAAGCTTGGTTAAAGGTGGGCAATTGACACCTCCAGAGCGCGAGTCGTGATGTGGCCCTCGGGAGCCATGGACTGCCGCCCCGAGACATTCAGACAAATTGCCTAATCTCGGCAAGCAATATTTACGCATTGAACCAGGGGTGTGTTTAGGGTCCTCAGGTTTAGTTGTAACCAACATTTTGATTTACATGCGTTAAGTTATTTACAACAACAAACTAATGTAAGTAAAGCACACTTAACGGAATACTGTCTATAGTTTACGCGAGCGAATTCACATTTAAATGGAACACTTTAACGGTTTAAAACGCGATATATTAATTAAACTTATTTAAAAATGATTATTAACTTCGGCGCGACGTTTCGAATGCTTTGCAGTATATTTAAACACACTTAACGGTTTAAAACGCGAAGTTTTTAAATTATTGAAAAAAAAATACTCGACGGGCTCGTTGGTCTAATGGTAACAATTTAAGGCTAATCAACTGGTCGTCGGGTCGGGGTGTTTCTAATTTTTTCAATTTACAATTTTTCTGAAACTGGTTTTCTGGTTATTATAAAAATCTGCATTTTAAAATTGGTGGTAAGAATAACGAAATTCCGTCCAGGTCTATCACGATTTCACTCTATGGATTTCCGAATATCCAAAGTTAAATAGGTCGATAGCGCATCTTGCTGCACATATGTTATATGACTGGAGTATTTCACTTACCATCAAGTGTACTTCATACTTGTCTGCCCTATTCAATATTAAAAAAAAAAAATCTTTGAAAAGGTTGAAACTTATGCTGATGTATGTTAGTAGTAAATTTGTCTATATATTTTTTTATTGACTGCCCTTATCTAGTACGTCCTTATGGATAATAAATACAATAAAAAACTTTAACTGAATCATCGGTTTGTAATTTCCATTCCGTAACTAGACAGGACGTATGCGTTGATAGTATTAACCGCTAAGCTATACGCCAGGGGACTGACAGTACTGTCTAGTGTCTACCAGGGACTGAGCGATCAGTCAGGGAGCAGGAATTAGCACGCGATCGCCGGCGGCCGTGGCACGCAGATTTACAACTCGAAGCGGCATTTATCTCGACGTGTATTTATTGCCGCATCTCAACCCGTAATTGTCGTGAGCCGTCTCACTCGGCGCGATTGAAATTATTGTCTGGCACGACTGCCTTTACCCACCATCGTCGGAACTACTAACCATTAACGGGGGAAAAAAATATCGATAGGGTTCTCATATAAAATAATATAAAAGAAGCCGTGAAGTTTAATCGCTTTTCGATTAAGTCTGACTTTCCGAACATCCAAGAATAAAATTCAGAAAACTATCTTATTTAGAAAATAAATGGCTTGAGGTTACCATTAAGTGAATTGTATGCATTAAACTCCTCTATCAGAAAATATGGTTCGATAAGAATCTTAGGTTTTACTTGAGAAATTCATTTATAGTGTTTGTAGTTTACGCGAGCAGTACATACACATTTGAATAAAACACTTTAACGGTTTAAAAAGCGAAAAAGAAACGACAAGCCGTAGTTAAAAATAATATGTAAACAAGTTTAACCAATATATGTCGCGTTTTAAACCATTGAAGTGTTTTATTAAAGTTCTATTACAGACGATTGTCAAATTCAATTCAATATATATATATCTTTTATCAGCTTTGGGATTTAGTTAAAATTATCCTAAGCAATATTCTAGCTAAGGTTTTTAGGTCAACAATCAATGGACTTAAATAAAACACTATAACGATTTAAACTGTAACTTCTTTTATCTGTAGTTAGTATATTAGTGACTTTGTTTATCGCGTTTTAAACCGTTGAAGTGTTTAATTTAAAAGTGTTTAAATTTAAAACACGGGCAGTATTTAATCAATGGATTATATCGTGGTTTAGCGCCATAGCCGCTGACAATAATCCACTTCGTTCTTTGGTTCTACACTCGAAGTGACACGGAGAGGACGAATCACGTCATCACGTGACAGATGACGTTAAGCGATGACGTTCTAACTCATCCTGTCACGTTCCCCGAGCAAAGCACTCTCTAGAGATCGCAGATTCTCATTTGCACGCGATTTGTCGCTTTTTATTGCATAAATGTCGCTCCATATATTTCTTCTTCTAACATATTATGGGGCCGCTAGAGGCAGAGCAGCCTAACTGCATATTAAGAATAGAGTTACTTATATATTTTCATAGTCTATTAATTGAAAATCGATTATAAATTCAGCAAATTTACGACTTTAAGCAAGACTTGAATGGGCATCCTCAGCGTTAGCTATTGTTGCTCTTATCAATTGAGCTATGTCCTACACATTGCAATAGTCTACAAGACAATATTAATCTACAAGAGCAAAGTAACCGAATATTGTTTACATAATTTTTTCACAATTAATAGTACAAATTCATTTTCGCGTAAGTTAACTGCGAATTTTATTTTCCTCCTTCCACCGTGTTTTTAGGCCACTCTGCTTCTAGCAGCCTCATATTGCCACAGATTATACTCCACAAGCTACTACTACATTAAAAAAACAGATTTCTTTAAAAGTTTGCGTTTTTTATTGTAACCCAAACGAGTTCTTCGCAGGTGGTCTACGCGGCGCCTACGTATTCCCCATAACATTTAAATCGACAAATAAATACGTCAATATCCCATGGCTATATTCATGAGACGATATCGGTGGCCGCTGCTCTATGGGTCTGTCATATAAATTCTACGTTACCAAATTATTTATTGAACTCTGCTAACCATACAGCATACACGATAATATTATAAAGAGGCATAGTCAATAAATCGCAAAAGTAGATTAAAGTTGGTCTTCAAGCCATATTATAAGTAATTCGGTAAATACTGTCTGTAGTTTACGCGAATAGTACACATTAAAAAAATTTCAACGGTATAGAACGAAATGTTTATATGTTAATTTTTTTAACTACGGCCTGATGCTTTGAATGCTTTGCAGCAGCCGTGGTCATCGGGAGAGTAAAGATAGAGGGGTCCCCTATTGTCAAAGTAAAATGTTATACGGTACGGTATAGGTATGGTACAGTTTTAAAGTAATACGGTACCTTATATGAACAGCAGGGAGTTTGGAGTCATAGAAAAGTGGTTCGTTTTGACTGGCGACCATCAATTGGCTTAGGTACAATAAAAAATTGTTCCGCGAAATAATCTACCATGAAGGTAGTTTAGCTTTTGTACTATCCGCTTTATCTTACCACATTTATTTTTATTAATAACATAACCAGTACTTAGTAGGATATTTTGGCCTTAGAAACAGTCATTGGGCTTAAAAGTAATTAGAAATAATCGAAAATATATAAAATTTACTTAAGAACATAGTACGTAAAGAAGAGGAACATAAATAAGAAGTTCTATTAATACTAACTTCCAATAGAGTAGACGAGGGATTGTGCAGATATATTGTTACATAAGCGTAAGTTCGCAAGTTACTTAAACATAATACTTACGAGAGAAATCCATGTTTACTCGGATCGCGTTTGCCAAATAATATATACGTGAAGTGAAACTTTCTATTCCCTGAATGCCTAAATAACTATAAAATTCAAGGATAAGATATGTGTTTAGAAATTAGAAAAATAACGTGTTATAATTTTGTATAAATATCTCTAAATTAATCTTTACTTTAATTTTATTATAAACACAAAACCTATAAGTTCCATAAAGGACCATTGAAACACTTGTTTTAACTTTACTTTAAACTTTTAATTACTTAAAAACTTTTGCCGTCTTTATGATTTAACTATGCATTGGCTGTAGTTAATAATACACTTTTAACGGTTAAGAGCACGATATATTTAATAATTTTAAACTATTCGAGTATATTTTTTACGTTTTAAACAGTCAAAAGTATTTAATTTATATCTATGCTTTAGCGTAAAAAATATGTGATTGTGTTAGATATTGTAAAATAAATCTCAGTCACTTAAAAGTTCATTAACAAATTCTGAACAGAACATTAAATATTGTACTTTGTCTTATATAACAATTTAAAAATCGAAAAAAAATTTAAAAAAAATATTTCGACTCGGGCAGGACTTGAACCGGCATCGTCAGCGTTCCGAGCGGTTGCTCTAGCAATTGACCTACCGAATCCTGTACGATTAAAGTTTTGATACGTTATACAATAATATTAAATTGATTTAAATCTCAATTTGATATTGATATCGAATCTGAAAATATTGAATTAGAATAGAATGTCAATACAATTAATAGAAGGCTGCAAAGTATCATTACAATTCGGGTTTTTCTATATAAGGCATAGAGAACTAGCCAGAACTAAACCCAATTTTTTAATCCGTTTTATTCTACATAGAGCCACCTTAAGCTACTTCTAAGTTTATTAGGTTACTAAACCATTTTCAATTACACAAAAAAGGAAATCTGTGCGTGAGACAAAGCTGTAACCCTTTGCCACTTAAGAATAGTGAGCGCGGTAAATACCTCTAGTTAGCGTTATCGAGACGACATCGTACCGAAATCGTAACGATATCGAACGCGCAGATGTGTGAGATACGAACAGGTACGAGTATTAAACACGCTATGGATATCGTATGAAAAAAATACTAAAAATATATTTCATCGATAGTAACCATATTATTACGTAGAGACCACAGGACCTGGCTTCGAATCTCGGGAAAACAAAAAAATATTATCAATCACAGGACATTATTATTTAGGAATGAGTTTTTTAAACCCACTTACAAATAAAGACTACAGTAAAATCATACAGTCTACAATTACAAGGACAAAATTAAGTAGGAAAATACAGACAGACTTTCAAATAAAATGTCTGTACTAATAGAGCTCTTGAGAACGACACTGAAAATAGACTGTTCTTAAATATCGTAGTTTTAACGGTTTAAAACGCAAAGTATATTCGTAAACTTATTTTACGTAGGACCTGAAAATGATTTTCAAATAAGTTTAACTAATATATCGCGTTTTAAACCGTTAAAGTGTTTTATTTAAATAAATACTTCTTATCTATTTTTATAGATTTCATCTACGGATTGTCAGTCCACCATTCAGTTGTTATCATGATTCTACGCATAACGTGGGGCGTTATCAAAGTATTCGGACACCGCGGGTGGCCCTCATACATTGCTATTCAAATTTATATCAAATAGCTGTCTAACAAGCATGTAATATTTT